AAGTCGAAGAATCCAGATGAGAGTTTTAGAGCAGATGAACACCAAAATTAGGAGGGCTTTGTTGAGAATTGTTGCTGGGCAAGTAAGCTCTAGTTTCCTACTTCTGGTTTTATCTTTTTCCTTTTCTAGAGATGGGATTTGCCATTGAGTCGAAAGCATTGCCAAAAGAGCAATTCCATGTGAAGGTTAAGAGAGAGAGAGAGAGAGAGACTAGAGAGAGACAGAGGTAGAGGGGGAGGTCTAAGGACAAAGAAAGGAGAGAGAGTCCAGAGGTGGAAGGGGAGGTATCAGAATGTAGAGAGAGAGAGAGAGCAGAGGCAGACGGTGAAACAGGGGATGAAATTTGAGGAATAGTGGAGGGCAAATTTGACATTTTGTTTCCTTTTGGCAAGTGTACCAAGATTTCTCAACACCCCAGTAGTGAAGGCCTGAGAACTAGGTGTCCCGGCCTAGAAAACTTCCAAAGAGAAGAAATCCCACCTCTAGAACCAATGGCTCTCGCATTCTCCTTGGAGATACTTAGAGCTTAAAGGGTAAAGCAAGCCTTCTCCTTTGCAAACCCACTTCCCGATTCAAGAACCCAAGTAAGATGATTCAGTAGTAGAACCCCTTCGGCAATCAAAACATGCTTGCTAGAATTTGCAACTGAAATACTCGGAATCGCTGCAACGGATTTCTCCTTTATTTTCAGGGAGCTCAAATCGAGTAGCTGAATAAGAACTGAAACCACACCCTGTGCAACAATGATTAGGACGTTTTTCTTATCATCCTCATGGAGCAACCCAAGCAAGGAATCCATGGCAGCATTCTTAGACTAACAAATTAGAGGGGTGGAGAGGAGGAAAGAGTAAGGAGAGACGAGACGATGAATAGGCGGCACTGCTAGTCTGGTTTTACTAGATGATTGATAAAGAAAATTAGATGAAACTTGAAGGTTATTTTTGTCTTTTTACAGGTCACTTAACGACTGGTTAACGCTGTGTACTAGATTTCGCAAAATGAAAGTTCGAGGTACTAGATTGTTGCGTTTTAAAGTTCGGGTTCTAAATTGGCACTCGGCCTAAAGTACAGGGTACCTATCGGGAATTTTCCCTTTAAAAAATAACCCGAAAGTAAGAAAGTGGCAACTTAGTACACTCCATTTTACTATTATAGATATAGATTTAAGAGAGAGGGGGAGGGAGGGAATAGTAATATAACATAATACAATAAGGGTCTATTTGGTTCCTTGGAATAGATTCCTAGAATCTAAATTAGAATGGCCAAGTGTTTGTTTCATAGGAATGGGATTTTGATTCTCATTCTTGGCAAAATGGGATTCACATTCTACAATTTGTTAAGGAGTAAAGAACTCCTGACAAAAAATTCCCCAAACCCTAATACTAATAAAATAATAAAGTATTAATAAACTATTAGCAAAATATTAATACAATATTAAAATAATAATAGAAATAATATTATGAATAATTAAATAATAATTAAGTAGAAATAAAATATTAATATAATACAATTGAAGTAATAATGAAGTACTAACATATTAATAAAATACAAGAAAATAAAATATAATAAAATAATAAATTACTAATAATATATTTATAAATTAATGATAAATAATAAGCTATTAATTATTAAAGATTAATAAAATAATAATGATATATTCATAAAATGATAATAAAGTAATAATAAAATAATAAATAGACTAATACAAAATTGAAAAATTTTATTTGATTCTACTTCCAACTCCAAATGGATCAAACAGTAGCAATTGGAATCCAATTTCGATTCTTGGCTAAACGAAATAGGTTGAGCTTAACATATCAATAAATCAAATAATATAAATAGGTTGAGCTTAAACAATAAAACATAAACCAACAAAAATAAAAATATTAATTTAAAATCTACTAAACTTCCACTTAAAAGTAATAACTATTAATAAAACTTAGTAAAAGTTAAAATAGAGTTATCTTGTAATAGTTAATAAAAATTAAGAAATTTGGTTTCCTTAAAATGTTAATTAAAAACAGTTCAATTCCACTTGAAAATCAAACTTAATAAACACTAATAAAAATTAAGAAATAAATATTGATAGTTTTAATAATATTATGATTTAATATTTTTTTGTTATTTTATATTTTATTGTTTAGCCTCAACCTATTTTGATTGAATCAGATTCAGATATCTGACTTCCTTAATGGATTCATATTTGCATGAGATCTGATCAAGTCATCATATCAGATTGGATTTAATATATGTGTTATCATATTTGATTTGGACATACCTTAATGCGAATTTTGATCAATCAAATAAGATATGCTGCATGGCTCTCCTTTCTCACCATCATTTATCTTTTTATTTTTGGTTTTTTTAGAACTTTTATTTTTAAAACTCAAGTAACTAATCAAATTTAAGTCTTTAAGACTTTCAATCTTTCATATCTCACCTCATTAATCATTCAATTAACATTAAATTGCTTATTTCCTTTTTGTGCTTTTTTCTTTTTCTTTTCCTTTTTCTCTTTTTATTTCTTTTTTCTCTCTTATCCTCATTAATCTAATAAACCAAAAACGATTTCAGGGCTAAGTTGGGCCTAATACTTCAAGGCGTGCGTGGCCTAACCAACCCATAAACATATAATAGTTTGAAAATTAGTTAATAAAATATAATAAATAGTTAAATCACCTAAAAATAATGAGAGAGAGGGAGAGAATTTTAAGACATAGGTCTCACTATTTCCCATCATTAACCTATTTTAGCACATATCTATAGGCATATTCCAAAGAAAGAGAGAATTTTACTCATCCAAATTTTTATTTCATATTCAAATTTTATTTAATTGGTTAATTGTTAGAAAATTATAATTTGAAACCTAATAGTTAAAATTAATAAAAAATTACTAAAGTTAATAAAATTTTTTAAATTTTATCAAGCTTTTATCTAACAATTATTATGAATTAAGAAATTAATAAAAATTAGTATTAATAGATAGCCTAACCCAGATAGGCCTATACATTTCTAGGCTCAAGCAACTACTTTCTTTTGAGCTAGGCCCAACTCAGATCTGCACCAAGCCCATACATAATGTGGGCAATAGGACCGTAAACAGATTGGATTTAGATTAAACCCGCATATATTTGCATCAACATTCGATTATAAAATCTCTAGATCCACATCCACATTTGATATTATTTTGGATTTCAAATTTAATCCGCAAAAATCTTATTGTGTTTAAAATGACCCAAAAATTAAAAAGTTAAAAAAAACTAATTATTTTTTATTAGACATATAATAATAATAATAATAATAATAATAATAATAATAATAATAATAATAATAATAATAATAATAATAATAATGATAATAATAATAATAATAATTTTTATTAGGCATGGATTTTAATATGACTGGTTGGGATTAAATCTGCATCCAATCTGATTATTAATCAAATACAAGGTCTAACAACCCAATATGGGATAATAAGATTTGAAGTCTAATTGGGTATCGAGCTTTTGGAATCAAATGATGGCTCTAGCGGATAGGGTCCAAGCTAAGCAACCCCTAAGCTCAACCTAGAAGTTATATGCATATATGATAAATATTATTATATAATATTTAAATAACAAATTTTATATTAATATATAGATAGAAATGTTAAAGGCCTAACCAAATATTATTACGTTTGAGGTGTGGGCCAGACTAGGCAAGACAACTTTAAAAACTGTTAATACACTATCAAAATCTGGCCTGAGATCTTTTGGCTACATTTGCTTGCAGTGTAAAACCTCATTAATGTAAAAGTCCACCGCTTTTCCGGTTTTGTAGGTGTTTGTTTGCAATGTAAAATATCACTCTCATTTAAGATTTGTCGGCATTTGGATAGAGTGGAGTTTTACATTGTAGATCGATGTAAAACCTACTTATAGTAGAGTTAATCAATGTAAATGCTAGATCGATAAAATTGATGTAGTATTACATCGATAATCATGTTTTTTGAAGCTCGACAGTTCAAAGATTTTAAACCATTGGGTGTGAAACTCCATCGGTGGACTTTTACTTTGATGAGGTTTTACACCACAAACAAGCGCAACCTTTATGTTTTTTTTTTGATTCATTGGGCTACACAATTGGTGTAGCCCATCCCCCATAACTTCTTCGACTTCAATATTATCTAAAAATAGTTAAAAAACCCAAAAATAATGCATGCATGAATTGCACTCAGTTTGGTTGAGTCCAATTATGAATGTCACATTGCTCTTAGGAGTATAACTTGGGTGGGTTGAGCCAGAATGAGGATCAACCCAAGCCTAACCTGAAGTCTTAAACTATAAGCTTGGGCTTAGATTAATTTAATTATGACTATAACCTAATTTAAATAATATTGAAAAAATTGTAAACATATAATCATTAATAAAGTAAAATAAATAAAATAGAACACTAACAAATAGTATGGCAAAAGAAATTATTTTATTAAGTAATTAGCATTACTTTATCACTTTTATTAAAAATTATTAATATAATTAATCAAAATTACTAAATTATTTTTGTAATAAATTACTAAATTACTAAATTAATTATAAGTTTCGATTGTTCCCTTCATAAATTACAGGCCTCGCATGGGTCCCCCCTAATTCTCAACAATTCTGATTAATTTTTTTAGGCCACTCAAACTCAATCTATCTGATTGTAGTCTTATAAAAATTCGTTGGATGAGATTCTACTCGAAAACTAATATAAACAAACAAATCACATTTGGACCTACCTTTTATCCTATTCGATCCGATCCTCCGTTTGCAGCAAACCGGGTTCCTCCCTTATTAAAAAATTAAAAATCCATTGGCCCAATAGCCCATTGCTGATTACCATATAATAAGACTGAACTACGTGGGCATTTTTGTCTTCTTGGCACCTGTTAATTGTTAACCGGTCCCATTGGTGGACCCTACATCGACGATTTTAAAAACAAGGCTTTCCAACGGCTATTCTCTTTTCAATTTGAAAAAAAGGTAAAAGAAGAGGGAGAGCGAAATTTCCCGACCAAAAAACCCTTGCTTTCTCTTTGCTACGACCCTGAAATCTCTCTCTGTTTCATCCTCCGATTCCATCTCCTTTATCTTGTCTGATCCAACAACTTGGATTTTGAAGCCTCCATTTATATGGTTTCTTTTCCTCTAAAAATCCTTTTTCCGTTTCTGCAGAGACTATTTTGACTCCGGATCTTGAATTCGAGGAGTTAACTTTGTCGATATCTAGGGTTTCAAGGATTTCCATTTTAGAATAGAATAAAGAAGGTAAATTTACGGTTTTGAAGATCGGGAAAATGGATCTTCCCCAAGAAATGGGCGACTACATCAAAGAGTCGATTGACTGTGCGTTAGGTCTCTCAGTTTCTGAGAAGACATTACATTTGAAGCTACGAGCGTCTGAAGAGGCGCGGAAAAGGATCCAGGATCAATACTTCTACCTTCATGACAGGTTGAAGGAAAAAGATGAAGTAATCGAGAGAGCTAAGGTTCGTAGTCTTTTATATAAACTATCTTAAGGTGATTTATTGGTTCTTTGGTTCTGTTTCTCTAGGATTTGCGATTCTGGGCTGATGAAGATGTTCTTTTTTTATAGGCTGAAGCTAGTATGAACGCTCAAGCTTTGAAGAAGTTCGTTGAGGAGAACCAAAAATTGGCGATCGAGTGCGCCAACCTTTTGAGTCAGTGTTCAAGGTGGGAGAAGGAATGCTCACTGTATGACCGTGATAGGGAGGCGTTGATGGAGTTCGGCAATGAAGCTGATGAAAGGGCTAAGGAGGCTGAAATTCGCGTCCTTGAAGTAGAGGATGAGTTGAGGAGAGTTGCAGAGGAGTTACAATTCTACAAACATGAGTACGAGACCCTCGTGGTACTTTCTATATCACTCTTTTTCTTACCCTCTATTTCGTATATATTGTTATGGTTACTTTTCACAGTTTCAGGTATATTTCATAACAATCTTTCACAATTCTGGGTATCTATGATTCTATAACAGTGTAATGAAGCAAGGGCAAGTGAAGAATTACAACTATTAAGAGAGAGAATCCGTGATCTAGAGCGTGTCAGGTGTATTATTTTTTTCATATTTTGTTGAAATGGTCTAATTTTTCTTTCTCCCATGCCGTATATGTCTGTAGAAATTGTCTTAATTTATTAATATTATGTAAAAAGCAGGTTTGGGGAATGTGACAATAATCATTATCCTTGTAGCCAATGTTCTTCATCAAATACAGAAGACCAAAAGTCACAACCACATATACTAATTTCTAAACCTGTAAGTTATAAGCTTTAATTCATGGAATACTTGTTTCTTCTTATTCTTCTTTATGAAACATCAATTGTAGAATAATAATATGGTTGGACATTTTTCACTGTTAAAGTTCCTGAAGATGTCCATTCATCCTATGATTCTGAATTAGCAGGAGTGTTTTATATGAAGCTTATTTCTTGAAAATGCTTTAAAAAATCAATATGAATTCTCCATACTTAATGAAGCATTACCTTATTCTTAAAGGTTCTCATGTCTACTTTAAATGCCACATCTTGTCCATATCTTCAACACTCAAATTGCATAGTCCTTGTACTTAAATGCACCATTTCTTTCTTTTTCTTAGAAAACCCTTTGATAATTGTTATACAAAATTTTATGCAATGGTAATCAGTGCTTTTATGTGATGTTGGATGAGATGGCCTTTCTAGTTATCAGATTAGAAGGATACAATAGGAAGGATAGTTCTACATCCCCTAAAACAATGCAATTATACAAATTAGAAGGGTACAACAGGAAAGATGGTTCTACTTCCCCTAAAACAATGCAATTCTACAAATATTTTTCTCCATTTATCGGGTAAGTGACAAGATCTTCAAAACATCTTCGCTATTAATATTGGAAGAAAAGAAAAGGACAGAATTTCCAACATACAAAACTATATAATTCTTGTTGAAACAACATTCTTGAAACCATCTCTGTTTGGGATATATGATCATGAGCCAAGCTGCAGGCTCAACGAATGCTGCTCTACTCTAAGGCAATATTCTGTATTTGTAACTTTCTAAATCATATTCCTTTTTCAATTATCTCTTGTGAAATGCACTTCCTCAATCTCCAAAATCCTTGTACTCCATGCATTACTGTCCAATATTTAGATCTCTTTGTTATTTCAGTTTTGGACAAAATTACAACTTTAGTTTCAAAGGTTAAATCTAGCCTCTTCTTCAAAGGCAACTACGAGCTAAGTATATGGACCATTCTTGGCTAATATTAATGCCAATTTAATATAGCTTGCAACTACAAGCACTGATGCATAGTCAACTCAAGGGGGAAACCTTTAGTTCTACCTTGCAATAGAATATGAAAGAGCACTTCTAAAATGTATGGAGATATTTAAAGTATATTATTTGTTGAGAGCATTGTTCATGCTCAGATATAAAGTTAGCTGCCTATTTTGCTCTATGTTTTTATTTCCTTTTCTTATTTATAGATGAGTTGGGTTGCTGTGGGCATATCCCGTTTGTGTGTGTGTGAGTGAAGGAATCATGCCAAGTATAGCTTTTCTCCCATACTTTTTCAATTGTTCTCCTCTATTCTCTTCTCTACTTTAGTATTCTTCTTAGCCTTTTTCAATTCTAGTGAATTAAACTAGAAAGTTAATATTTTTTTTTATTCTAGAAAAAATGTTGCTTCTTTTTCGTTTTCTAGGGAAATGATCTCAAGAATCAACTTAAAGATATGATTTTCTTTATCACTTTCTGGGAACTGATCTCTATGAATCAACCAAAGGGATAAAACTTTCAGTTGACTAGAATTTATATTCCCTCAAAATACATCTTTCAACCATTCTTCAATTCATTTTCAAGAAAAGAATTACTACGTTAGAATAATGTGAAGAAGTTCATCTCCTAGCTTCTTGGCTTATGATTATTGTTCATCCTAAAAACGTAAGGGTTCTATACATTTATGAGGTTACAATTGTATTCTAGAATTCACAATATGGATATAAAAATAAATCAATCTAAATGATGTAGTATGGAAACAAAGGAAAAGTTCTATGGATAAAGAAACAAATTTTCTCTTGATTCTATATTGAGTTGCAATTTTGGATTTCCTAATTTTGGTCAATTTGAGTCTTTTAATAATAATTTTCTAGTTTATTAGTGTCTTAGGAAAGAATATGAATTATTTTAAGGGTTGTGCCTTGTGAGATATGTTCTCCCCTTTCTCTCTTTGTTTGTTGTGATCACAAACACCTCATGCTTCTTGCAGCTATACTTCATATCTTATAGAGCTATTTCAGGTTATTGTGTTACTAAAGGGTTACACCCACAACTAGTTTTCTCTTTCTACCTAGACACTTTCAGAATTTTTCTTTTTTCTCAATCCTAAACCCATTTATTTCTTCTTCAAACTTATTATAACCCTCCTAAATCATGTATCAATCATTCACTAGCTTATTTTCCTATTCTACAAATTGCTTTTCCTTTTTTACCCACCATGTTCAACTCTGGTTTTTTTCCCTATCCTACATTAATTTGGTATCAAAGAAAAACCTAGTAGTTAGTTGTATCAAATCAACACAAAAGTTTCCTTTAATCATAGCCAACAACTAGATCTTGACTAATATATAGAGTTTGCTAGAAGAATCTCAAGCTCAATTTTTCAAGATTATCTTTGAGTTATAAGCTAAAATATAAGAAAATTCTAGAAAATCAAGATGACTATTGAGAAATATGATTTTAGTGCTAAAAAAATAGCTGAAACAAAGGCATTAGGACCTTGTATTCTAGAAGATGAAGCATGAGAATTGGTAGAATGAACTATGAAGAAGTTAATAAGGACTTCTTTAATCTATATCCTTTTCCTCCACCTACATCATCATAAAGCTCAGTTGGATGCTTCATGTGCACCTCATGCAAATCATCGTCGAGGAAAGCATTCTTTACATCAAGCTAAAAAAGTGGCTAGGAATAGTGGCTGCTAGAGATAAGAGAGTGAACTGAACTCATTTTGGCCATAGGAGAAAAAAGGTCTCTATGTAATCTATGCCATAGGTCTGTGTATACCCCGTTGCAACAAGCCTTGCCTTGCACCTCTCTATATTGTCATTAGTCTTATATTTCATAGTAAACACCCACTTACACCTCCTAAGTCTGATTATTAATTAGGGAGTCCATTTCATCCTGCATAGATGCCCTTCACTCAGGTTTAGAGAGTACCTAACATTCCTGGGTATAGACATAGAATCAAGGGAAGAAAAAAAGGACTGGTAATAAGGAGATAAGCTATTGTAACAAAGGTAATGTGAGATACAATGCGTTGTACACTTTCTCTTCCCCTTGTAGAGAGTAATGGGCAGGTCTAGATTATTTGCATCAATAGTGTAGGCACAATGTATCACCAACAAGAATAGAAACATTAGAGGGACAAGAGGATGGATACTTGGATTTGTATGTAAAGAATCAACTCGCTTGCATGTGTAGAATCAACCCTCTTGTTGGGAAGTGGTGTGGGTTCCCTTGTTGGAGCATGTGTAGAACCAACCCTCTTGCATTAGCATGTAAAGAATTGTCAGGTAGTATGTAATGGAGTAGGTAAAGCTGTAAAGGGGTAGGAATAGGATACACACTCTCCTCCCTAAAATGCCCCCTTGATGAGAACCTTCGGAAAAGAAGGATGTGGACTCAAAGAAAGTGACATCCATAGTAACATAATGACTCTTGGACATTGGATCGTAGCAACATCACTTCTAGTTTCAAGCATACTCAAAAAAAAAAAACACACACTTCTTGGCTTTGGGATTCAATTTAGAATGGTGAGGACCATTAATATAGACAAAGGAAACACACCCAAAGACCCTTAGAGGTATACGAAACATCTCCCCTTCAGGAAAAAGAAGACTATATGGAACCTTAAACCCAAGGAGACAAGAAGGAACTCAATTGATCAAGAAGACAATAGTAAGAATTGCATTGCCCCTAAAACGAATTGGAATTGAAGCACACACCCTAAGACTTTTTCCACCTCTACAATATGTCTATTTTTTCTTTCCACCACTCCACTTTGTTGTGGTGTATAAGAGCAATTTCTTTGATGACCCCATTCTCCAATAAGTAATATGTTAGGTCCTTTTCAACATATTTTCTAGCCTTATTTGATCTAAAATACTTATTCCTCATCTCAAATTGTGTGAGAACCATTTAATAAAATTGTTGAACCAAGGAGGACTCCTTATCACGAGACTGCATCAAATATGTCCAAGAATATCGAGAGTAATCATCTAGAAATAAAAGGAAATAACAATAGCTATCCATGGAAGAAATGTTATATGATCCCCAAACATCAGTGTGAACAATATCAAAAAATTAAAGAACTCCTTTTATTACTTGGTTGAAAAGAATGTTTACAATGCTTTGCAAGTTGACAAATTTTACATTCCAAAGTAGATAATTTTATAGACTCAAATAACTTTGGAAACAAAAAATGTAAGGAACCAAATGATAAATGACCTAATTGGTTATGCTACAACAAAATTTGACTCATTGACTTCGACCCATTACTCATATTGTTTACATGATGACTCTAGTGACTTGGAAGCACATCAAGAAGACTGACTCCATTCACCTCACAACCACTC